GGCATTTTGATCTCGAAAAGTTGCAGAATTCGTACGAGAACCGCACAAGGCCTAATTTTGAGCATTCTCTCAGCCCGAGGCAGCGTGCGGTGTATGGCGGTCTGACAGCTCGACAGTTTGCTAGTAGATGGCAGTGATTTCTGTGGCTGCGGTTTCTTAGTTTGCTGTCATACAAGATGGTGATCGTGCTGCGTGCCGCTCAGGCCTCTCTGTCGTTGGCGACTTTCTCTCTCTCGATCGCGCCCTTGCGATCGTCGCCGCGGCTTCGGTTGATGCCACAGCCGCTACAGTTTTTGCCATGGCAATCGAGCCTGAGTCCCAGTTTCTGGGCCGAGCTGACGCAGTTCAAGCTGTTTGTGTCAAAGCTGGACGACAAACCAGCTCCGATCACTGCTACATACACCCTCGGAAAGACATATATTGACAAAGAGACAGGAGAGGCTATCGGCAGAGGTGGTGCGCTTGAGCTTGACGAGCAGCAGGGCGCGTTCGCGCCAGACGACGCAAGAGCCTCCGAACAGTGAGTCTTTCGAGCAGCAGGGAATCGGATCATTGCCAAAAGGGTTGTCGAAAACCGATCGACCCGTGTCAGACTCTTTCAAGCCGGCTCGATGGCTACGGGGTCATGTGGGGGTTGAATCAGCGCGGAAGCCGGCGGCAAGCAATGCAGAGCTGAAAGTGCTAACTGTACAGGAGTGAAAATGACTATACAAGTCTACGGACGAGACTCCGGGGCACTCTGCGCAACTACAACACTGTGGAAGAGTTTCGTAACAGCGACAAGAACGCTCTCTTGTCCGCGGAAGCGGATAGAGTGCGTAAAGTGCTATTTCCCTTGACTTTGCATTGACATGTGATTTCTTGGCCAGCTCTGGGACCGAATACATGACCCCTCGGCATCGCTCGAATCGCTCAACCCGTTCCTGCTGGTCACGTTTGCCGATTTGAAAAAGTACAGATACTACTACTGGTTCGCGGCCCCTGCACTTGTACAAAAGCCGGGGTGGCAGGTCCTCGACGAGTGGCAGGACTGGTCAGGTCCTGAGGTACGTGCTCGAAGCAAGAAAGAATCGCTTGCTGACAAACCATGAAATCAGCTTGACTGTCGAGAGTCGGTCGCGATCGCAACAAAGAGCGCCGGTGGTGTATATGACTATGCTCAGGTGTCGCTGGCGCGGTCCTATTTTGCCAACATCGACGCAGAGGACCGCTTGTTGATCGTGCGCGACCCATCAGCTCATCCGATGGCACCAGGCTGGAACGTTCGGAATCTGCTCACGCATCTTTGCGCTTATAATGGAATCACGTCGCTTCGTCTCGTGCTTGTTCGCGACAAAGCGATTCGGACAGTGCTCATCGGCATTGACGAGGCGGCGGCGAACCCGGCGGCTGAGAGACCAGGTGTGGTCGGCTGGGAGAAGAACGAGAAGGGCAAGCTTGGTCCGCGCATGGCAGATCTTGCTCCGCTCATGGACCCGACAAGGTTCGTGAGGGTTCCTGCAACCTCCTTCAGGTCCCTGATTTGAGGGTCCGCACAGGCTCGCCGACCAGGCTGTCGGCTTGAACTTGCAGCTCATGCGCTGGCGTATCATGCCCTCGCTTGATCTTGAGAAAGTGAAACAGACTCGAGCGTTGTTGCTGGGAGCTGGTACGCTGGGATGCTACGTAGCGAGAACTCTCATGGTTCGTTCGGCCGCAAAGAAACACTCTGAAATCCGCTGATCTCGTGCGATTGCAGGCCTGGGGAGTTCGAAAGATCACGTTTGTCGATTCCGCTACCGTGTCTTTCTCAAATCCTGTGCGACAACCTCTTTTCGAATTTGAAGACTCGATGAACGGTGGCAAGCCAAAGGCTGAAACGGCTGCTGCAGCACTCAGAAAAATTTATCCCGGAGTGGTGAGCGCTCATCCCTTGCAGGTAGTATGATTTTATTTGAAGCCCGATGTTCTATAGGATGCGCATGGCATATCAATGTCGATTCCCATGCCCGGCCATCCAGTCTCGCCGAATCAAATTGAAGCCACAAAGCTTGCTGTCGAACAATTGGAGCGCTTGTTTGACGAACATGACGTTGTATACCTCTTGATGGACTCTCGAGAAAGCCGGTGGTTGCCGACAGTTATTGGCGCTTCGAAGCGAAAGGCGAGTCTCCAAACCCACCTCCGCGTCCGTGACTGACATTCGTGCACAGCTTGTGATGAATGTCGCACTTGGATTCGACACATATCTCGTCATGCGCCATGGCGTGCGAAACGGTACATCAAGCCCGCAAGCGACAGAGTCTGGCGCATCCAATGGCCGGTTAGGTTGTTATTTCTGCAACGACATCGTCGCACCCATGGATTCCCTCAGTGACAGGACGCTCGATCAGATGTGCACCGTCACACGGCCTGGCATCGCTTCGATCGCAAGTTCGACGGCAGTCGAGCTCATGGTATCCATCCTACAACATCCTCATGGACCTGCAGCTGCGTCTGAAACCAGTGTGATGACAGAGGCACAGTCGAGGACGTCAGATCAGGTCGGCTCGTCGCCGGGATCGCCGTTAGGTCTTGTTCCGCATCAAATCCGAGGCTTCTTGGCCCAGTTCAACAATCTGAGAATTACAGGTCAAGCCTACGATCGTTGTACAGGATGCAGTGAACAGGTGCGACTCAAGTGTACCGTCATCTGCATGATTCTGATATTCGGAAAACAGATAATTTCAGCGTACGAGGAACAAGGCATGGAGATGCTGCTGAAAGCATTCGACGACGCAACCCATCTTGAGCGTATAACCGGGTTGGATAAGCTCAGTCAAGAGACGGACGGTTTGATGGAAAGCTTGGATTGGAGTGACGACGACGAGGGCAGTGCATCGTGATTGTTGCAATCAGGAGCTGTCCGTCGACTCCGCGGACAGAGCAGCTTGCCGCCCATGAATTTTCCAGTCCCTCAGTCTGGGCCACATGTCAGATACAGCAAAAGTCTTTGCGAATATGGCTGGGGTGCTTGAAGGGAAAAGCCTCTGCGAATACAACGCGGTGTTGCAGTCGATCGAGCAAGCGGGCACGAGCGGCTATCACGCTTTCATGTACGTATTTGGCTCAGATACTATGCCAAGGATCCAAAATCTGGTGAAGCAAGCTTATCTTCAGCAAATGTACGTTAGATGCTTCAATTGAGCTCACCGGCACTCATCTTTTCGTTTCAACAGTTCAGAATCAGAGAAGCATGAGCTGTGGACTGTGTTTGGCCAATTCACCGAATATACCATGCACATCCTGCTGCGGTACGCAAGAGGTACTCACGCTCTTACTCCACCGGCAATCCTCGTGCATCAACTGCAATCCTTGTCGGCCGAAAATCCATTCAAGGTAGTGGCTTTGACAGTGTACCTTGCGCATCATTTGCATTCGTCGAATAATTATGATAGCAGCCAAGATATTGTGCACCAAGTGCTTTGGCGCATGTTGGCTTTCAAACCCCTAAGAGCCGCCGATTTGGGGTCGACGGCATCCGACAGGAAAACACATCTCATGACCTGGCCTCATCGAAAAAAGATTATGCAATCCCTTTGGTTGCTCGACGAAGCATACAATAGTTTATTCGGGCGGCTGCCGATGTTCTGCGCTCAAAATGCGACCGCGTACTGGAAAGAGCGGCTCGACTGGAACAATACCTTTACCAGAACAATCGAAGTTCAGGTTAGACGCTACTATTTCCTTCTCGACCAGAATCAACAGATTGCTGCGGCCTGCAGCGTGGCAGATGCCGGCAAGAGTCGTCAGCCACCACTCGCGCCACGCTCAGTATATCAACGATGGACACAATTTATGGGTTCTTCACGACGGACATCACCAGATCGTCAAAGCCCGTTCGTCGCTGTGATTGCTTTAGCGCTTTAACTCTCGCTTCAAATCACTGAATCGATTGACGTTGCAGCTGTTTGATTGGCCAGGTGATCAATCTGAAACAAGTCGAGTACCGGGTAAGTGGTGCTGCTTCAGGTCGAAAGGAGCCACTCGGACTCATCAACATCCACAGCTCTCGTTCTGTGCAACTTTGTTTGGGCCGTTTGTCAAGTTGCGAAGCACAGAGAACTCGAGACCGATATCCAAAAAGCGTTTCACGACAAGATATCTTCCGCTGTTTACCCAATGCATCTTTCCACCATCTATGGCGAGCCAGCCCACGAGTATGAGCTGCCTCACGGTATGTTCCTGCCCAACATCTCGGTCGCAGAGAAGTCCTGGTGTTTTTTGCTCTGCGAGCTTTATATGATCGCGGTCAGTCGCATCGTTACTTGATTCCGCGAACCCAAAAGAAGAAAAAAAAAAAAAAAAAAAAAAAAAAAAAAAAAAAAAAAAAAAAAAAAAAAAAAAAAAAAACCAAAAAGCAAAAATCGACTGATATACATTTACTTCAGTTCAAGCTTGAGCATGAGGTGCTTCAAGCGATGGATCATCGGCTCAGACAATACGTCAATTTCTCAACGCGCCGCAATTACCTTGTTCTATCATTCTTGACTCAATTTGGACGCGTGCAACTCGACGATGGTGTGAGCTCAGCACCGCTTTCCCTTAGTAAACGCCAGCAGCATCACTATGGACCAGAAGTGGCGGCTAGCTTTGTCAGGCGGGCGCAGACAGGCAATCTTGCCACAAACCGGACATAAGTAGTATGCCTGGAGCAGCGTAATGAAGTATATCTGGCATCATCCTTCTGCTTTACAGATGCCCAAGCGATCAGACGGAGGGAATAGCCATAGACATGAAGCAAGCTCCCTGCCCCCTTCGTGCTGGAAACGAACAGGCGATCAAATGCAATGGAAAGTTTTCAAATGACAAACTTTTCGAAAAGGATTGTACCGGCGGCGCGACTTTGGCGCCGAGAAGTCGAGGCGAGTTGTGTCTGACAGGAACGTGTACCTTTTCTCCTGCCTACAAGAGAAAAAAACTACACCTCTGGTAGATGGAGACGGAAGCCCCGCGCCACAAAAACAAGGCAAAAAGAAGTGCTTCCCGTCCGGGAGTCGAACCCGGCTCTCACGCGCCCCGATTAATGACAGGCGTGTATACTAACCGATATACTAACGAGAAGTGATAATGGCCAGCGTCTTGGCTTCCCATATAGCCTGAAGTAGATCCTAAGTGCGATCTGTGCACCTTGGTTTTTCATGTTTTCTATGCAAGCCCTTGACGGGTCTTGGAGCATTCTAAGCGCTTTGGGCGCGCGCCAGACAAAGTTTTCCGGTTTTTCGATCCTCCAGCTTGTGTAAGACAACCAATCAGCTCGTGAGCACCCAAAACAGTCGGTAGACGCTGATTTGACATGTATTTGGCGGGAATGTGTCGGATACGGTTTTGCAGGCGCGGAAACCGGCGGTCAAATTTCGAATGCGTGATCGTATAAGAGAGCACCTCTTTTCGTTCTGCGAATGATCCGAGATTTCTGCACTTGCTCCAATGCGGCTAGCCGAGAGTCAAGAGCGTGCACCGCCCGCGTATCCGCGCGCCTGCTGCGTCGACGTCAAACTGACTCGCTTGTCCAGCTTGTCTCCGTCCGCCAACGTCCTTGTTGCCTTTGCGATGCCGCTCGTCGTCTTGTTGCTGTCTAGAGACAGCACTCACGTCGATCCGACATCCATTGTGCCCAGCTGCCTGCTGTTCGGCGTCACCGTCCTCGGCGCAGCTTACTTGGTCGCGACTAAATCGCCGAATGCCCAGCCGATCGCTCTACCGACATCGTCCGACGACCCTTTGTTGCCTTCAAAGCGTGAAGATACCGTCGAGATTGACGAGCAGAGCGGCATCGAGCCGTTTCAACGCCGGCTGCGCGCGCAGAAACTGTCGCTGCTCGCTATCGTTCTGCTCCTCGAGGCGCTCAGCTTGTTCAGCATTGGATGGAACGGCATCAGACATGCCAAGTGGGAATTGACGCTCGAGGCGGGCCTGTCTGCCGTGCAGTGGGTGAGTGCGCGGCCGAACGTGACGTCGGCAGCCTCGCGCACGGCCGCACGCGAGAGCGTACACTGCAAGCTTCGTTAAGGACAGCTTGCTTGGATCGACGCACATTCGTGGCTGGCCTTGCCGCGCCGGTCGCCTTACAAAATATATCCGCCTTGTGCCACCGTTTACACCAGCAGAAGCTCTTGCATTTCATTGCGCCCATACACCGTAGCTAACATAGATCTTTCGCTCTGACAGGCAATAATAGCCTCATTGGTCGCGCTCTCAGTTCGTCTAGGCAGCTCACAGGCTGATGTCGACCGCCATTGGGCTTACACGGTCACGTTGACGATAATCACATTGTGAGCCCACACTTGTTCCATCTGTCTCAGTGCCTGACAAGCCAAACCACGCTAGCTCCATTGTCGCAATGACCTTCTTCCGTATGATCTTGCCGACGAGCGCCTCGATTGCGCCTCCGGAAGACGAGCCGTCTTTCGTACGGCATCTCTCCTTCGCTCTCACGTCCGTGTCTGCAATCCTCGAGCTGGTCACATTCCTGCTCGCTGGCACGATGAAACGATGTGCGCCCCACGTCACGACTGCCACAGCATCCCGACACGACTACTCTAATGCGACAAACGAAGTATCGCACGAGCCAGAGAAGCTGCCAGTGACGACGTACACGTCCTGCTCTCCTCTGTCATTCCTCCTCTTTTCCTGGCTCGACTCGGTCTTGCAGATCGGCGCCAAACTTGAAAGTCTTTCGCAGGAAGACTTGCCAATACTAGGTGCAAATGACCGAGCTCCAACCGTCTTTGCTAAAATTGCAACCACGACCGAAGATGGATGTCCGAAATTCATGAATGGCCTCCTCTGGCGTGTGCTCAAAGTCAATAAGCGCCTGTTCGTCGTGCAAGCTCTGCTTGCCGGCACGGATGCTTTCTTGTAGTACGTAGTTTCGCGTTTTGACCCATCCTTGAGGTCGACTGATGTATTGCCGCAGCTATCTCCCGGCCTTTTTTCTTCAACAGCTTGTCGGATTTCTCGAAGTCCCCAAGAGCGAAGGAGACGCTAAGCAGCCTGCCGCCTGGGGCTATGTCTTCTGCCTCGGGTTATTGATATCATATCTACTTGAGGCACTCGTTGGCAACATGTTGTGGTTTGGTAAGCGGACCAGGTTATTTTGACCGAGCTTTGCCACCGCTGACGCGCTCGACCAGTCTCCAACTCGATGCTCTCTACGCGCATCCGGGTACAACTCAACACGCTCATCTTTGACAAGACTCTTCGAGTAAGCCAAACCTTTGCAAATTGACTAAGCTGCCGCTGAGACAGCTGGCTGCAGCGCAAAGATGTTGTGGGCATTTCTGGTGGAGCGGACGCGTCGGCGGACGACGAGAACGAGTCGAACGAGGAGGATTCGGAAGGCGGATCAACAAAGAACAATTTCGGAAACAAGAGTCAAGTTCTCAACCTGTTCACAATCGATGTAGATCGGTGAGAATCGCTTCGCATTTCTATCGCTCCCGTCGTTGACCCATTGGGTGTCATCCAATTCAATAGGGTTGCCGACTTTGCTATTTGGTGCTTCTCAATCATCGACACGCCTCTCGAAATCTTTATTGGCACCTGTCAGCCTTGTCTTGGGCGCTCTCACATTATATGCCTGACCAGCTCGATTGCAGTCTTTTTGTGGAAATTGCTCGGCCAAGCTGCCTTCTGGGGCATTTTGGTCGCAGTCGTCTTCTTGCCGATCAACCACTTTACCTCGAAGGCTTTCGCGGACGTGCAAGACAAGCTTATGAGCGCTCGCGATCGTCGCGTCTCGCTGATGAACGAAGTCTTGGCATCGATCCGCTTCATCAAGTTCATGGCTTTCGAAACTCCTTTTGAAAAGCGGATCATGGAGTCTCGCAAAACTGAGCTCGCTCACTTGCGTCGCAACTTTTTGCTCGAGGTTGCGTTCAACGCAATTTGGTCCGTGTCTCCGATTCTCTGTGTGCTCGTCAGCTTCTACGTTTACGCCGCGGTCATGAAGCAAGAGTTGACGCCGTCCGTGGCCTTTGCGTCGTTGGCGGTGTGGAATGAGCTGAGGTTTGCACTCAATGTACGCCCAGAGAGGCTTGGGCAAGATCAACCACTGACATGAACGTCAATTGAAGGTCATTCCCGAGATTCTGGTCGACGCTATTCAGTGCGTCACAAGTCTCCGTCGCATCGACTTGTACCTGCGCACACCTGAAGTGTCCATGTCGCCTGGCGCCCAAAATTTGACCAATATTGAGCCGCTTCCCATCAACGACCGCATCGCATTCGATTCTGCGACCGTCACCTGGCCTCGCAAAGCGGAAGACGGCGAAGATGGTGCCAACGCTGAATCTGGCACCTCGACACCGGCCCCTCGCGGGTTTGAGCTGCAAGACATTGATGCCAACTTTCCGGTCGGCGAAATGTCACTCATTTGTGGCAGTCTTGGTGCGGGAAAGACGCTCATGCTTTTGGCCCTGCTTGGCGAGGCGGACGTGCTTGCCGGCCAAGTGGTCTGCCCACGCTCACAGCCGGACGCGATTGCGCTGCCCAACATCGATTGGGAATCGTATCTGACGGCAGACAACTGGATCAAGCCAGGCCTGGCAGCCTTTGTGCCGCAAAGCGCATGGTTACAAAACGCATCCGTTCGCGCCAACATTTGCTTTGGTCTACCATTCCGCCAAGAGCGCTATCAAGCTGTCTTGCAGGCGTGTAGTCTCGTGTCTGACTTAGCCATCTTGGAAGACGGAGACCAGACAGAGATTGGCGAAAAGGGAATCAATCTGAGTGGCGGTCAAAAAGCTCGTGTCTCGCTTGCACGCGCCGTCTACTCGCGCGCTTCGGTATTGCTTCTAGACGACATCTTGGCGGCAGTTGATGCACATACGGCGTCCGTCATCTACAATCAGTGTTTGAAGGGCCCGCTGCTTAAGGGTCGCACCATCATTCTTGTCTCGCATCAAGTTCAGATGTGTGCACCTGGCTCAAAGTACGTCGTCAACCTTGAAAACGGCCGAGTTAAATACGCAGGCGGCTCTCAAGAATTTCTGGAATCGGGAGGCTTCCGCAATGCCGAAGACGACGAAGAACCGATTGAGAACAACGTCAAGGCTGCGAATGTCAAGGCTGCGAACGTCAAGGCTGCGCCGGTCAAGCCTCGGAATAAGCAATTGGCCAATTTGGTCGCCGAGAGCGCTGCGGCTTCTGAAACGAGCTCGGCAAGCGAGACAGAGTCAGACTCGGAAGCTGAGGAAGATCCCGACATCAACAAGAACGAGAAAGAGCGTAAAAATCCGCGCAAGCTCATCGACGACGAGCAAAAGGCTGTCGGCGCCGTCAAATGGGACGTCTGGCGTCTGTACCTCGGACTGTCCGGCGGCGTCTTGTTTTGGATCGTCTTTGTCTTTTCGTTCGGGGGCTCAAAACTGTCTGAAGTCGCCGAAACGTTCTGGCTCAGTATATGGGCCGCTTCGTATGACACGAATCGGGGCAAAGCGTCTCACGACGTCACTTATTACTTGGAAGTTTATGCTCTTGTGTCTCTCCTCGCTGTCGTCATCGGTACACTTCAGTACTATGTCCTGTACATGGGCTCACTGCGCGCCAGCGACAGACTGTACAGGCGCATTTTGCATGCAATCTTGCGAGCGCCTCTGCGCTTTTTCGACACGCAAGCTCTCGGACGTCTGCTCAACCGGTTCAGTAAAGATTTCGAGAATGTAGATGCAGCGTGAGTGACACCGGACATGATTATGAGCGGCGGCTATGCTCACGGATCTTGTTCAACAGCCTCCCAGACCACCTCGGGCGAACTCTTATCTGTGGGCTTGGTGTCCTCACGACGCTCGGTGTCGTCGTCAGCGTTGCACCGTTCTTCTTGATTGGCTTCGCTGTCATTCTGGTCGTCTACCTCAGGTATGCTCGGCTTTTTGCCAAGACGGCTCGCGAGTTGCGACGACTAGACTCGGTGTCTAAATCACCCCTCTATTCCATCTGTGAGCACCTCGCGTGGCGTTCTGGTGATTGCTCCTGACGCGCATGCTGTCAGACGGAGAAGCGATCGCTGGTGTGGCAGTCATTCGAGCCTTTGGCGCGAGCAAAAAGTTCATGACGCTCAT